ACCATCTGAAATTATTTACAGGTAAATAAGAACTCATCACAAATCCGTAGAGATTATTAGCATCTATCGAAATAATATAGTTATGTCGTTGATTTTTATCATAGGTTTCTGGAATTAGAGGATTGTTGGCCCTCGCGAATCTTTTCGAAGTTAGGCTAATTCCGCCGCGAATTGCTTGTTCAATAAAAAGGTACATATTAATATCTTTAAATAATTCGAGTTGAATTTTTGTCATTTTTAATCCACAATTCCATGTTAAGTCTGGAGCTGTTATGAAATATACTGGATCTAAATTATAATATTTTAAACTTAATTTTCTAAAATTTTGGAATATATCAGCTAGTAATAAAGTGTCAACATATTGATATAATTTTAAATAATCTTTAAAATTTTTACAACGAAATTTTTTCCAAACTAATTTTGCATGATCATAATCATCATCGCTAATATTTTCTCCAGATAATTCGTTATAAAAATATTTTTTTGGGGGTAAACATTTCTCGTATAAAATATCCTCATTTTTAAAATAAGAATATGGGAAAATTCCTTTCCTTTTTAATAAATTTTTATTTTCGTTATTATAGAAAAATTGATTAAAAATAGGAAAATTATAATTTGCATTTTTTAAATTTTCTGTTAAAGTAGTTAGCGAAGAATTTAAAAATTGGAAACTGTCTATAAATTTGAAATGATCTAAAGTAAACGTAGTAAATTTTTCTGAATTAACTGGGATAATCTGAATTCTCGAAAATAGTTTAGGAGGAATATTTTTGAAAATCAGATGGGAGTCATAACCTGTAAAATTATGTAGTATAATAGGAATAAATTTTTTGAATCTATAATTTAAATTACAATGGTTATGAGCTATTCCGCGAAAATCACCTGTTAAGTGATCGTGATCTCTTACTCTGATATCATCATAATTAAACCCCTCCTCACATATATGACACCGATGTTCGTAATTATCGGGAATAGTATCCACATTCATTTCAACATAACTATTTATTTTATCTAATAAAAATTTTAATTGATTCTGGATATCAAATAAAAAATGCTTAACAGCATCTTTACCACAATAAAAATTAGAATAGAATAAATCATCATCATTTTCTATAATAACGATAGAATAACATATAGGTTTATGAATCTGAATAGTTTTAGTGAAACTAGAATTTAGATCTACAGCGTTTACATCAACTTCTTCTAGAATCGATTCAAAATCAGCATAAATTACTATGGGGTGATATAATTGCTTCTCGTAATTAGTAAATTTAGCAACCGCTCTTTCTCCAGTCGGGGTAGAAACTTTCTGATATTTATAATTAGAACATATTTTCACATGCTCATTTAAAGTATGGCTTCTTTGAAAGCCTATAAGACATCGTTTACAAAATTTTCGTATTCCTGATTTTTCTGACAATAGTCTGTTAAAATTTCTAATTAGAAAATAATGGGATTTATATAATAACAAATTAATTTCTTTTTCGAACTGATATTTACTTATATAAATAGGATAAATTATTTTTTTTTCATATCCAAATACTTGAATTTTTAAACTATTATTTTTTTCAAATGATGGAATATTTTTAATATTTACTGGAAATTTTAGGGTATTTGTATTTAAATATTTCAAAAATTTCCTGTACGAATAAATCGAATTTTTGTTGTTAGTATTTGGATACAAACTAGCAATTACGCAGTATAAAAAACATTGATTATCACTACATTTAATATTCAACAAACAACGCTTATTAATTAAATGTTTTGGTAGGATGATATTACCACATCCACCACTCTCAGCCTTATAAATTCCTAAATGAATATCTAAAAATATAATTTCCTTAATTATCCACCCTGATCCGTTTTTTATAAACTGATCAATGAAGTTTAAAATTGTATCAAAAGCATTTGTTAACCTTTCATCGATCATATACTGAGATAAAATATGTTCTACTCGACTGGAGAAAAACACATCCTGATACGTAATAGTTTCATTTTCTGAATATTTTATAAATTTTATCTTTAGATTTAATAAAAATTTCATCCTCGAAATTAAATCATCATTAGTCAAAATATTATAAATAGTATGTCTAATATTTTCAAATAAAATACTAGGATCTGTATAATTAGAGATAAATGCTCTATAACTTCTAACATACCCTTTGAAAGCTTTTTTTCTTAATACAAATGTGAAAACCATTTTTAAAAAATCGTAATTACACAAATTTTAAAAATTGTTTTACCATGCTATAAAACATTATACAATCAATAATTTTGTATAAAACCATACTATAAAACATTATACAATCAATAATTTTGTATAAAACCATACTATAAAACATTATACAATCAATAATTTTGTATAAAACCATTTTAAAAATCGTAATTAGAATATCATTACACAAATTTTAAAAATTGTTATACCATACTATAAAACATAAAAATCGTAATTAGAATATCATTACACAAATTTTAAAAATTGTTATACCATACTATAAAACATAAAAATCGTAATTAGAATATCATTACACAAATTTTAAAAATTGTTATACCATACTATAAAACATAAAAATCGTAATTAGAATATCATTACACAAATTTTAAAAATTGTTATACCATACTATAAAACATAAAAATCGTAATTAGAATATCATCACACAAATTTTAAAAATTGTTATACCATACTATAAAACATAAAAATCGTAATTAGAATATCATTACACAAATTTTAAAAATTGTTATACCATACTATAAAACATAAAAATCGTAATTAGAATATCATCACACAAATTTTAAAAATTGTTATACCATACTATAAAACATTATACAATCAATAATTTTGTATAGAAAAACCATTATACCATACTATTAAAATTTGGTATATTCCTCCAAATGCTGTCCCATTGCGTTGAATGCTTGCTTATACTTGCTAAAATCTTTTACGTTGATATTAAATTTGTTTGGGGGAAATACACCCTTACTTTTAGTAATACATACATAGAAATTCGACTGAAATTCCTGTATCTCGATTCTCTCGGATTCGCTAATCTTAACTTTAAAGTCAGGAATTTTTATCTGCTTACTTTTCTCGGTAGTCAGATCCAAATCAAATTTCGTCTTTTTGTTTTCACCAGCCTCAGCTGTTTTAGGCTTGGGACCTCTTTTCTTATTATTTTTTTTTTCGAAATCAAAATCAAATTCTACAATTAGTTTATAAAAAAATTATAATTTAAATTAAGGTATTTATTATTATTATTATTAAAATAAAGTTACTTACTTACCAATATCAGACATGATTTCCTTTAGCGAAAGTTTTTCTTTTAGATGAGTTTTTCTCTGGTAGTCGGTTGATGAGTGAAGTTTAAGAAAAATTTACTCCACTTTTATCCTCAGCTACTGACCTACAAACCCTGTTAGACGCGACGGTTGAAACTAAAATTACAGTACATCCTCTTCAAAGTAATGCTTATTGACAGGTTAGGTCATAAAGAAAAATTTGTTTTCTTTGTCCTGTCTTTAAACTAGGACGCAGGTGTTTTTGCTAGGTCATGGGAACGTCTTATAACTAGGACGCAGGTGTTTTTGCTAGGTCATGACAACGTCTTGTAACTAGGACGCAGGTGTTTTTGCTAGGTCATGACAACGTCTTGTAACTAGGACGCAGGTGTTTTTGCGTGAGAGTCATCGACCTTAGAAGACTGATTCATTTCTTTTACTAATATCTAAAGATTATTTTTGTTAAATCTATAAGAACTAACACAAAACCCTCTAAGGAGGATAATATAACGTTTTTTCTTGAATATAGCATGGAAAATATTGTGGTGGCTGATGAAAAAAGTGCAATTGCCGGATATAGAGCTATGATTAGGGGGGTGAGGAATTATGATAAAAATAAAGGAACCCCCCTAGTCATGGCTGTTGTCCCTGAGACGGTCTACATCCCGTACAGGGTTAGAGACCGTTTTCTAAGCCAGCAGCAGTGGGTGATGATGGCATCAAAAAATCAAAGACCTGCTACTGCTGGGGCAATTGCACCCCGAGAGGAAGAAGACTCTACCTGCTATTACAATCTAGCGGAAGGGCCTAGCTCTCCGCTAGAACCTAGTGATAGCAGCGATGAGTCATCATCCGAAGATGAGGAGGAAGATTCTACCTCATCTGAGTCCTCATCCTCGGATGATAATTCTTCTTCCTCAGAAGAAGAAGAAGAAGAAGAGCCACCACAAAAAAGACGGAGATGGAGACCTTAAAACAGGTGTGTATTAAATAAAACTTCTTTATATTTTTGAGTATTGAAAACATTTTTTAATGAAACTAAAAAGTACACAATTCTGTTGGATATATCTAAGTTTAACGCATATATAAAAACAGCTTGATATTCACGGCGAATCAGATGATTATGGTTGTATTTTCCGAATAAATAGTGTGAACACGCAATTTTTAAAAAAATATGATAGATTAACCTAATCCGCACCCCTAACATGTCCTATCAAGTTGAATGAGGAAAATCCTGTTACCTATTTTGTGGGTCAAGTTGTTTATTAAGGAAAATCCTCTACCAGTATTTTCCTCCTAGTTTATTATAAATAGCGGTTGAGTTTTCGGGATATAATTTCGAATAGCAGCATATCTTGTAGTAGAAGAATCTTGTTACAGAAGAGAATGGCAACAATCGAATGCTGGAATTTAGCGAAACTGAATAGTGAGTTTTTTCATATGTGTTTAGTATTAATATTATATATATATATATTAATTTTTATTATTTAGATAAACCAGGGGTTATAATCGATTGCGAGGGGTTCCAATTTAAAAATGAGCCCCTCTTACAACTGTATGATGGTTTTTTAACCAGACAGATTGGGTATGTGGGATTTAATTGCGAGGATTTTGGGATTTTTAATTTTTTCCATCCCGACATACAATGGAAAAAATTAACCCCCGGTGATAAAAAAACTGTGAGGTTTTGTAACGGCTTATATAAGCTGTATTTGGCAGATTGCCATCAAAATGATGGCAATCAGTGGATACAACATGAAAATGTTGTATCCACTGATTGCCGTAATTTGAAACCGTAATTTTTCAAAAATTACGGTTTCATTTTTTTTAAAGGCGGGCAAATTGAAAAATGCCTAATTAGGAGGGGGAGCGATCGCGTTTTTAAAATTGACGCGTTAGATGTAGAAAAATACGGGGTACCAAAATCCTCGGAAATAAAAATCCCGTGTCCTTATCACCAAGAATTCATCCCACACTGCTCATTATGTGATTGTTTTTCATACAAGTATTTTATGAAAACAGGTAAAAATATTTTATTTTGTTTTTAAATATTATAGCATTTCAGAAATACTGAATATATATTTTTTTATTATATAGAATTGTCGGACATATTCTGAAAATCGTGGAGGAGGAAATGTAAATTTTGTAAATAAAAGCACAATTTTTATATTTTAAATAGATTGTTTTATTGAATTACAACACTGGTTATTGGTTATTACAATCGGTTTTGATAAATGAAAATTATTTTTTACAAAATTTTTAACAAATTCATCGTTATAAAATTTATCTGTTACATGCAGTTCTGATAAACATAGATTTCTATTAATTTTATATAAAAAATATAAGCAGAAATAACCACAGTTTAAGGAAAACAAACTTTGATGAATAATATTATTCCAACAATATTTTTTTGAATTTCGTTTTATAAATCTGATGATACTCGCTTTCCTCGGTTTTAATCCATAACTATCGTAATAAATGCAAGAATTTTTATCTTTCGTAAAAAATACCGATACCCAATGACTTCCGGGCTTATTTTTTTCATCTAAATTAATTATAAAAGATTGTTTATTACCAACTCGAAACGGTAGATTGTCAGATGCAAAAACACCTCCAAAATTTCTTTTTATTTTCGGATCGCTCGCTGCTAATCTCCACAACGTAACGGTATTCATTAATAATCGACGAATACGGTTCGTGAATGATCGATTTCTAAGGTATTATTATATTCTAGCAAACAAATAACGTTTATGGTTTCCGGTATCGCCTTCGAAAACTTTAATTCCACAGAAATGTTTCCCAGCTCGTTAACACTAACGTGATTCTCGGAGCCTGATTTATCAGGGGTAAGATCGAAACAATATAAAGTATAACCGTCTCGGTACTCGTCGTACGATATATTTATAGATTTATGATGATGAATACATCCGGTATCTTCAAATAACGAGATAAAATTTCTTGCATAAATTTTATTGGTATAATCCGGAGTATAGGGTTTAGAAGGAATCATTTGATTGTCTTTTGATAAACATATATAATTTAAATCATAATTTTTAAAATTAAAAGGATTACGCTTCACATTTCCATTAAATGCAGAATTAGAAACTAATCCGAGAGTTATTCTATAAGGTAGTTGACCGATAACAACGTTTGATATACTTGTAGATTGAATCCCGCTAGTTAACGTAAAGACTTTCACATCTGTTCGACGGAATGGTAATTTAATTAAACCAGTCTGTAATGCTTTTTCAATTCCTATCTGTATTGACGAACTAACATCTACTTTATTAATTTTCAGTGAGGCGTTTTTAATAATAATTTTATAGTTGTCGTTATCTGCCATTAGTGCAAAATTTTCTTTAGATCTTTCCAATTTAATTCTTAGGTCTACATTGTTCGTTAGAAGCTTAGGCTGGTTCGCTAAATCGATATGAAGACGTCCCATTAAATCTATTATTCTACTTCCTTTGCTGATGTTAAATCTTTTAACTAATCCGTAGTTAGTATTATTTTCATCTAACGGATTTATTGAATCCATTTGTCCGGCAGTATCTTTAAAAAATAACGCGCTCGTTAAAAAAGTTTCTTGCACTTCTTTCGAATTAAATAGCAAGGCATCTAATATAGCTCGATACGGGTAATTAACCTGCGTAATTACTAATTTGTCATTTAAATACACAGTACACTGAGAAAACAAACTATTTAAAAAATAATTAACAGGAGTAACTTTCTCTTCCGACCCAAGGTTTGATCCATCTTTCTTTACGATTTTCGCTTGAACACATAGATAAATCGAATGTAGATCCATATAATGCTCACCCGATCCTGATATAAGAAATTCTATAGGTGATCTACTGTCATTAATTGCAGCGACGGGATGCGCAGTGACTTCATACGTATTGTCGATAGCCAGTTGGATTCCCACATTCTTAAACAAATCTAATTCGGATTTGGTGCAGCCACACGAATGGACATTCATCGTTTCTTAATTACCGAAAATATCGTTAAGTTTTCGCTTCTTCTTCTTTTCCGACTGAGTTAATCTTTTTCGTCGTTTTCTTTTTATACCCGATCCTGTCTGCACTTTTTTAAGCACGTCTTCCTTAATTTCAGATCGCACATCTTTAAAACGATTTTTTGTAGATTCTTTAAACGACTTCCCTCCAATTACATCCGATCCGACATTCGATGCAAATTTTAAAGCTTTACCCCCTAGATACTTTCCTACTCTACTAAGAATAGGAATAGATTTACGAAATAAATCCCCGAAAAATCCGTATCCTCTCTGTATTTGCGGTCCAGCAAAATAAGTCCCTCTTCCAAATTGTCGTGCAAATAATGGAAACTCGTGTGTCAGTACCGTTCCTCCTGCTTGATTGCAGTAATAATCTATACAATCTCGCGGATCGAGCTTCATTTTCTACTTCACAAAGACGAACTAACGTTAATATATAAAATATACGATATTTATATCTGTTTAAAAGATAAAACTAATAATGTCTTTCCTCCAAAAAAGACGATTTCTTTTCCACTAGCAGTTCTCAGCTCGATTTCAATTGTATCTATATAATTACGTCGTAAAGGAAGGTATAGAGGTGATTGGTAGACCCTAACTATTTGATCTGACTTTTCCCCCATTACAGGTATAACCCTTAAAAGTGGAGCGGTTATATCCCCAACACGATGAGAAGCAACGATATTCGAATAAATAAAAATTTCTGAAATTCCGGCAGATAATTCGATGGGATAGTCGCTCACATATTCGCCTTCGGAAAATTTGCTTTTTTTAAATCCTAACAAATCTTTTAATTCGTTTCCGAATTCAATTGTTATATTTTTATGAACTTTTAAAACGATTTTGTTATTAGGTAGTAATGCTAATTTAATATATTTAAAAATTCCAAGAAATTTTTCAACAGAGGAATATAACCCGATTGGAATAAAAATTTTTTCCTCTACATCGATTTCCTCGACAACTTTTTTATCTCTTTCTATTAAAGTTATAAATTGATCTTTATAAAATCTAGGATTTGATAGATATTCCTCACTCGCATCTCGCAATATTAAACTCGAACTCCGTTGTTTAAATACTATATCTTTGGTCGGTAAATTTAAAAAATAAAGTAGTTTATGAGCCTTTTCTTTCGAAATATGCAACTCGAATCCCTCTTCCAAATTTAGTTTTACGTTTTTATAATCCTCGTCTAAAACAAATTCTGCCAACTTAGATCCTGTTAACGAAACTATATTCTTGTTTATCCAATGGAAAAGCGTCCCTTCTTCATTTTCATCGCCTGTAGTTAATGGAATCTCACATGTTACATCAGTTATTTTTTCTCTTCTAATTTTATGTCTAGTAATAGTATAATCGTTATTATGATTTGATATGTTGAACCAATTTCTAGGAATAATAACCTCGCTCAGACCTACTACCCATTTCCCGCGTAAATCGATAGGTGGACTCATTTTCACGGTGAAATGAGACTGCTTATTTTCGGGAAATAACTCCATGCTGGCGTTGCTTATCAGAGTGACGAAAAAGTCCGACTGCATCATTTTGTTACCTTCTGTAATTCTTCTGTATAAAATCTTCCTTCCAAAATCTCGTTATTTAAATCTTTCAATATATACGTCGGAGGATGAGACGAAAAACGATCGTAAATAATAAATATTTCTTCCGTCCAACCCGGTAGGTATCCTCGACTAAATGTTTTACGTATTTTCGAAATTCGAACGAGGTCGCCAATATTAAATTTAAACGTGTTCTGTCCTTTTATACCGTACAACTTTTCGAAAATAGAGCTGTGATGCAAAGGTGTAACTTCCGACGGCGACATACCGATACTTCTATGAAAACTATTATTATAACTTTTCACAATATCCGATAATTTATCGATATATTTATAAGAATTACGATAAGTAAATAATCTATATATTTTATTTCGCAAAGTTTTATTTAATCTTTCAACAACAGCAGCTTTTGTATCGGAATGAGTCGAATAATGATTAATTTTAAATTTTTTAAAAAGATTTTTTACTAATTTATTATAAAATTCTTTTCCCTTATCAGTTTGTAAATTTTTCGGAATGTTTCTTTTTTTAAAAATCATTTGAAAAGCTTTAAAAACCGATTGGGGTTTTTTATCTTTTATCGGTACAACATAACAATACTTAGTAAATACATCGATTACAGTTAGTAAATACTTTATTCCATTATTAAATCTAGAAAATTGTTTTAATACAACTAAATCAGCCTGCCATAAGTCGTTAGGATAAAAACTTATAGTTTTTCGTCGCGAATATTTAATTCTTACAGGTTTATGAAGCGTATAAGTTACTTGAGAAGACAGCCATTTTTTAACAACAGATCGCGGCAAATTTGATTCTTTAACTAATTTACTCACACCACCAAAAGACGCTGGAGATTTAGGATTATAGTATATCGATTTCAAAAGTTTTTCCATTCGAGATTTTTCTTCCTCTTCCTCTTAGATTTTTTCGACTGATGAGAGAAAATTTCTTCGGGAGTTTCGACCGATGATGATGTCGCCAAACTTTTGTTTCCGATCCACTCTTTAGGAATATTTATTTTCTTTAAGCCATCAAAAAAGTCTTTGAAACCAACGGGAGGTAATGCAGTTTTCCTATTTCTCATTACATACGAAACTAAGTCTACTATATGACTCCCGATAACAGGTTTTCCATCGATTGTTAATTCACCTTTAGAATTCCATCCGTAATGACTTTGATCCAACTTAGCGATTAAATGAGGTATATATTTTTGATATAATTGAGGTACCGATAAAATTATTTGTTTCATAAATCCGTCGTCATCAGTTTCTTCTTTCGGTTGAGATTCTGTTTCTTCATTTTGGTTAGATACGACCGATACTCTGACAGGTTCTTTAGGAGCGTGAACTGTTCTCTGATATCTCGAAATCAATTGACTTAATAACTTGACTTTATCGTCATCAGGTAAATTTGTACTCTCGAGTAATTCTTCGATATTAGAACCAATTCTTATTTCAGGCTTTTGATAACTCATCAGTAATTCGGGAGGAACTAAGGCCATCTGCTTCGCCATTAGATTCTTTTTCCTATTACTTTACCGATTAACCCTCCTGCCATAGACAATAACGGCGCCAGTAGAAGAGGAAGGAATCCACCAGATTGATT